CATCATGTGTCTGGACTGTGAGTCTGGTGAAGGCCAAGAGGAAGAGGTGTCCTCCTGTGTAACCAGTGGCCTATACTCTGGCATCTTCTGGTAAACACTAGGCAATCATATTTCTAAAGTATCAGGAATGTCAGATCAGTCCACTCAGTGGGTAATAGAACAATTTTTAAAATCACATTTCTTCTTCAAAATCTTTTTCAAAGATAGGTCATCAACTGCAGATGAAGTAGTCGGCAGGAAGGAAGTTTGTTGACACACTTTCATGGCTCATATCCTTGTTGCCTATTCCTAAGTTTACCCTTTAGCAGACATAGCACCAATCCTATCATCCCTTTCTCTCTTCCAAATGAATTTTTAGTGCACTCTCCAGTTACGTCCTCTGTAACTTCCAGTGGGTTTTGGTGAGGATCTATTAGGGTACCTATGGTGATGAGCTCATCGAGTTGCCATCCATATGTGAAGCCAGTGAGAGAAGCTTTGACATCAGAGGCAAAAAGCAGGCTTAATCAGTCAGGTTCATGGCAAACTTCTGTGTTCCAAGAAGGAGAAACCTGAGTATAGAGAGAACTAAGATGGTTAAAAAATGTCTTTTGCATCCCCAGATTTCTTCATTGGGTGTCTAGAGAGTTGTGTGAGGTTCCAGGATCCTTTGGGGAATCCTATGACATTCCCTTTTGTGTATCTGGCTCACCTTGTTTACAAGTTAGAGGCAAGAAAGAAGTGCACAGAAGTTGGTGGCAATGATCATGCTATGGTTTGAGTGAGACACAACCCCCACAGGCTGTTGTATTTGAACACGTGGTCCCCAGTTGGTGGTGCTCTGTGGGAGCCTTTAGGAGGTACTGCCTTGCTGAAGGAAGTACATCACAGAGGGGCGAGCTTTGCAGGGTTTTAGCCTCAGCCCATTTCCTGTTCTCATTTTGCTGCTTCCTATCGGTGGATGAAAATTAGATCAGCCAACCTTTTGTTTCTGCTGCCATGCCATGCCTTCCTTGCCATTATGGACTCTCCCTCTGGAACTGCAAGACAAAATAAATGGTTTCTTCTCTATGTGGCTTTTGTCCTTGGTGTTTTATTACAGCAACAGAAGAGTAAGTATAGCTCTCACCTCTGAGCACAGGGAGATTCAGGTTTCTTTTCTTGTTCCTGCGCAGGTTAGGATGGGAAGATTATGTCTTGAGGGCATTTTCAGGGCTGGTGGGGACACTCACATCCAACCCAATAATTCAGATGGTCCCTTCTCCACTGTGCCTGACCCTGCTCTTGCCTTTGTTGTAGTCATTGGACACAGAGACTTTCACTGGAAGTATAGTTCTGTCAACATTTTCAGGAGCAGTGGGGGTGTCATTTCATAGGCTGGGGACTGAGAATAATAAGGCCCCATGTGCCTGTGGTATGTGAGGAGAAACTGCCCTTCTCAGACCACTGGCAGCACTCTTGGGTTTGTTTGGGATCCCTGCCAATGCTATTGTAAACTACCATTTGTCCCTTGCATAATTTAGAAGTGTGTTGCTTGATTTCTAATATGTCAGATTACAATCTAGATATGTTTATGGTATTTCTTTTTGATTGACTTTTGTTTTGGTCAAAAATCATAATCTGTGAGCTGTGTATGTATGTGTTGCAGATACATATGTATATACAGGTATATGCACATGTGGAAGCCAGAGCAGGATATCTAGTGCCTTCCTTTATAAATCTCTAGTTTATTGCCTTGAGACAAGGTCTTTCATTAAACCAGAAGCTTTCCATTTTAGGGGGTTTGCTGGCTAGCAAGCTCGTGGGATTCACCTGCCGCCATCTCACAATGCTGGGAATGTAGGCATTCACAGCCATATTTTTTTTATGTGGGGCTTGGGGATGTGAAGATTCCAACTCAGGTCCTCAAGTGTTCAGAGCAAGTATTCTTCCCCACAGAGCCACCTGTCTTGCCCCCATCCTGGTGATGATGCGATCAGTGTCCACTTGAAAGTACAATATAGTTTAGTGTCAAGTGATATCTAATTGCTTAGATAAAGAGGTCAGTTCTTTTTCACTGTTGCTGGCCTTTTTATATATGTACAATCCCTGTGAGAGTTTTATTTCTGCCCATTTTTATTTCACATGCATGTTGAGCTTTAATTTTGAGTGTGTATACATTTTCAGATTACACTGTCTTTCTTAAGAACAGAAACTTCCCCTTTTATGCTAGAAAATATTCTCAAAGTATATTTTTGTCTTATATTAACATAGCCATGTCATTTTTTATAAAGTTGCTGTTTGTATGGCATATATGTTTCCATCTTTCACGTCTGATCACTGATAGAGTTTCACCAGATGCTTTATCTAGTTTTTAAAGTTGTTTTCAAGGCAATAATAAGCCCATTATAGTTATTCCAGACCTTCTCCATTTTTAAGAGCCCCTCGGGTGTCACATACATATTCAAGTGAATAATATTTTTACCCACTAGGTTAACCTCTGCCTTTTAATATGAGAGTTTAATCCTCTTACATTGAGTGTGGTTAATTACCAAAAATCATTTACTCATGCCATTAGGTATTTCTTTTGTAGGTCTTCCCCCTCATATCTTTCATCAATGTCATATTTTTAGAAGTTAGGTGTTTGTAACATGCCTGTTTGACTCACTTCTTCTCTCTTACTCTGTTTATTTTTAAGTTACTTTCTTAGTGGCTGTCTTGAAATCATAGCAACTCATTTGTGATAAGGCTAACTTAAGATTTGTTAGGATATACTTTTTATTAAAGATCTATTTCTTCTAGTCTTGGTGTCACACAGCTTTAAATCCCAGCACTTGGGAGGCAGAGGCAAGAAGATCTCTATTAGTTCCAAGCTAGCCTGACCTACGTAGTGAGACCCTGTCTCAAAAACAAATCTTTGTCTGAGAACTACATCATGTTAATGGTATTAGACTAACCATCCTGACTTGTGGGTGTCATTGATATTTCTGCTTGTTTTAAGAGTGGATCTGGCCACTTGTCAATTTACCAAACTAGTTCATTGATTCGTGACCATCAGGCCTCTTTAGTGTGCAACATTTTTGTCTATGTGTGTGTGTGGTTATGTGTTTGTGCATGTGTGCCTGGAAGCCTTAATTATATGTAGTCCTTGAAGGAGCTGTTTTGCTTTCTCTGCAGTTAGCACACCAACAAAGTTTTCTTCTAGTAGACTGATAAAGTTCTGTTACAAATCGAAAGAAATATAGGTAAACGTTGCTGTCTCTTTAAATCTCCTACTGAATTCTACTCAGTGAGGGGAGTCTCTGTAGCCTATGTAGGGGATAAAATAGTTAGTTACTAACAGCTTCCCTCAGGGATCTACCAGATCTACCAAAGCATTGAGCCCCAAATTTTAGTAGAGGAGCATTCCCATGGCCTCTGACACCAGTTGGCCCCACTGGGCAAGTGGACTGATCTCCCTACAAACATAGTAGGGCTGAGCAGTGGAGAAAAGTGGGTGGTTTGTGCCTGCAACCAAAGATCTATGACCATTTATCATGAAGTGATGCTGTGTTTTATCATTTTTGAGCAGGATATGGGGCTCTAAATTGGTTAGTATGACTGGAATTCTGTTTTACCTTATGCTTGAGGCAGGGTATCAACCCTTAGAGATTTCCAACCCACCTTTATTGCGCCTGTGTCTAATTCTGAACTTTTCTATTCAAATCAACCGAACTTTTTGCATAGTCACTAAATTGATTATAAAAATGTTATATGTAGGCAGAGGCAGGCGGATCTCTGTGAGTTTGAAACCAGCCTAGTCTATAAAAGCTAGTTCCAGGACAGCCTCCAAAGCTACAGAGAAACCCTGTCTTGAAAAAAAAACCAAAAAAATGTTATATGCATTGAATAGCATGTGTTATATCAGAATAGATTATAAATGTCCATTTCCATTAAAGTTTAGTACCAATCTTTATGGTTCCTGATAGATATTTTTGCTGGTGTTTAATTATTTACAGCTTCTTCCTTTCCCAACTCAAGAGGTAAAAACCAGAGCCTCAGAGCTCAGGCGGGCAATGAACTTGCATCTTCCTGTCTCAGTGTCCTGTGTGTTGGGATCACATGCATGGGCCACCACACCCGGCTTTTCTCATGGTTTGTGTTGTATGGATTGCAGAGGGAAATGTGAGGCAAACTGGGGTTGAGTTGGTTTCCTGGGAGCTCTGTGTGGCTACTAAAGAGCTGTCTCCAAATGATGAATTATTTCTTCATGAAACCGTCTGGCAAGGAGAGGGAGGAATGCATCCCAGAAGTTCTGACAGCAGATGAGAAGGCTCCTCTTGGTGAAAGCTATTTCTAAGAGAGTCTGGAAGAACCCCAAATAGGAGTGCCTTTTGTCAGACCTCCATACTGATGCCTAACATGCTGATGAGTTACATATGGATGAAATCCATGAGATGTGGAGACAACGATCATAGTGGTTTCACATTGCAATCACACTCTGTGCTAGACACATGGCATGCAAGCATTTTTTTAAAAAAGCATTCATTTCTGGAGTAACCATTGAGGTGGTTAAAAGTAGGAACCAAGCATATTGTTCTTCATGGTTATCCAAGTGCCTGCCTCAGAAGCTATTCATGGGCCCAGATGTTTTCCTAGGACATATTCTCGGCCCTCTACCTTCATGTCTGACTTATTATGCAGCTCATCAAAGGATCAGAAATGGAGACAGAGCTGATCCTTGATAGTAAACTGTTCAATGATTGAGGCTCCTGCAGAAACAACTACCACATGCTCTTTCTCCCCAGGCTGGTACCAGGAACAGAATAGGACACTTTTGTCTTTCTATTTCATTCATGCTTCCTAGCATTTGGTAGTTTATTTTTCTATTTCAATAAAGTCTTGGATACTTCTAAGGATCTTTAGTGATTCAATGGACCCCCACAGGTTAATTTCTTCGTGATTCAATTTCCTTGAGCTGTAGACCGGAGTATTATATCACAATGGCATGCAAGCTTTAAGTAAGATGGTACAGAGATAAGCCAGGTGTGGTAGCACACACCTTAAGTTCCAGTACTCAGGATCGGGTAGGGGTCACAGAAGAAATGCTGTACAGCATTGCGGGAACAGAAGGTGAGTCGAACCATGAGGAGAGTGTGCAAGAGAGCGTGCAGGTTGGTGATGACCCAGGATATGGCCACCAGGAGGACACAGAGTCTGGGCCTCATCATCAGGGTGTAGTGGAGAGGGTGACAAATGGCCACGTAGCGGTCATAGGCCATCACGCTCAGGAGGAAGCCATCCATGTTGATGAATGTGATAAAGAAATAGATCTGGGTCATACACTCCTTGTACGAGATGGACTTACTTCCCAACACATGATTCACCAGTGCTTTGGGTATGGTGACTGAGGAAAAACAGATGTCTACACTGGAGAGGTTGGCCAAGAAGAAGTACATGGGTGTGTGCAGATGAGGGTCACAGCTGATGGCCAGGATGATGAGAAGGTTCCCAGAGATGGTGACCATGTACATCCCCAAGAACAACCCAAAAACAACCTCTTCTTGCTTTGACTGCCCAGCAAGTCCCAGGAGGAGGAATTCTGTGGCTGTTGTCTGATTCTTTCTGTCCATATCTATGGGGGAGAAAGTTTCATCTCAAGATAAGATTAGATGTCAACACTTAAGCAGAAACATCATGATTTTGGAAGAGCTTCATTGTTGGTTAAGAATTTACTAAAACTGAGTGGTCTAACTGAGCAATTTTACAGAAAAGTCCAATTAATTTTAATAAGGTTGCATTACAATAGCTGTGTTCTTGTTCACTCCTATGCAAACCTTTCCTTAGCCTGAATAATTGTGGCATTTTATTGCACTTTATGAGTGGAACAACTGAAGCTTGAGACAATGGGATGATGTATCCAAATTCACAGAACTAATGACAGTGACTGCATTAAATCAATGGGCATGTTGTGCTGATGTTGCTTCTTTATGCTATGCTTTAAATCACTATCATTTACTAAAAATTTAGCCCAGAGGTAAATCCTATATCTGATGCCACACTAGAATCCTGAGGATTTTATCTGTGGCTTTTCTCATTTTTTTTTCCAGAAACTGGAGTCTTTGTGGAGTCAAGAGGCCAGATTAACAGTTTGGTTCAGAGTCTTACCCTCCCTTAAGTTGTCGTCTGGCAGCTGTTAGGATGCGTTGAGATGTGTAAGGGGCATTCGTTCTTCTTCCTGCAGACAGAAGGGGAAGGGCGGATCCCTGAGGCAACTGGATTGTTTTCTCTTTCCAGAAAGAGATTTACAGACTAACAATAAACTTCAGGACCAAGAAACCAGTACAGTCAAGGGAGGCAGCTGAAAACTGTGGGTTCTGTGTCTCTGTGAAGACTCGGGGTGCTGGTCTCTTAGAGGCCTAGGGAAAGGGAAGAGGGAGAGATGACTGGGCGTGCCTGCTGGGACAGAGGGTGCACTAGTGAACGTTTTGAGAGGGCTGGCTAGTGTGCAGACACTCGGGAAGCAATGAGTCAACCACCAATGGGAGTCACTGCAGGGAAATTAAGCCAAAGTGCTGAGGTGTGAAGCCATCTATCCAGGACTAATATCCAGACCTGAGATAAGGAGGGGAGTGCTAGGAAAAGCTGGAACATGGCCGTGTGCCCCTTAGAATGTAAGGGGTTAGGGCCGGGGAGAGGGCTCAGTGAATACAGCGCCCGTCATCAAGCCCAGCCACCTGAGTTCAATCAGCAGGACCCATGTGATGGACGGCAAGAGCCAACTTCTACATGTTGTTCTCTGACTTTCGCATGTGTACCATGCATGTACACACATGCTCTTACACACAAATAAGCGTAATAAGAATATTTTTAGAAGAATTTAAGAGATAAGGGTTATAGGTGACATCTCTCTCTCTCTCTCTCTCTCTCTCTCTCTCTCTCTCTCTCTCTCACACACACACACACACACACACACACAGGAGAGTACTGGTTCAGTACACATTAGCTCCTGGTCTTCTAGACAGATCCCGCAGTGCTACCAGAGCTAGAGAAGGGTAGTAGGATTTCAAGGGAGGATTCTTGTGGTTGAAATCATGTGGGACTGCCAGTAGCATACATGATCTTGGTACAGCGTCTCTGTTGATGTAAGAATTGACTGTAGGAGGCTGTTGCTAGACCATATATTATCATTTAATGGTTTAAACCTGAGTAAGCTGACCCTCCATAGGAAGTCTCATACCACAGCATGGACCCTAACTCCTCTCAATGATTGGATGTTATTTGGGCATGTCCTGAAGTAGAATTGGGCACGACCACCACCTCCATGGCCTCCTCAATGGGAGATAGTGCTTCTATGTGACTTCAATACTTTGGCTCTGCCTTCATCCATTATCTCTTGAGCTGAGCTAATGTGTATCTATATGAGACACCTGGCATAACTGCATCATTGTGATCCTGGACCATAAAATCAACTCTGCTTAATCCCTGGGTTTAGGTCCAAGTCAACACCCCTCTGTGGGGCTGGGCAGGATGTCTAAGTAACCTGACTCTGAGACACTATGTTATATAGTTGGCACTAAAGAGGATAAAAGAGGGCAAACAATGGGCACAAACACGGAGATGAGAGGGTGAATAAGGCTGCCTTGTGTGCCTGAGATATCCAAGGATACAGGGAATTGAGGCTCTTGGCTTCTAGCCATGTTTGCTGGTATCTCTGTGCTCTGGTTAGCAATTTGCACTTTTCTGTTTCTGCCTTGGGTGTGTTTTTCCTGTACTCTCATCAGGGAGGGAGTGCTCCTTGACAGAAAAGGGCTGGCACGTATCAGGGAGAACAATTTTTTTCTCCTTCGAGTTTGGTCAAATGCAGAGGAAGTGGGTAGTTCTGTCTTTGTTTCTCTCGATATCATTTCATGTGCTTGAATCTATGTGAATCCATCTGCTGTTGGAAATGAAGGTGCCCCTTCCTCAATGCTTCCCCAGTCCCCCTCACCTGCCTTCTCTGCTGCCGCCAGGGTCTTCACAGAGCCCCCATCTCTGCTGATTCGGTTCTTGACCTTGGAGGATGGGAAGTCACAATGAGGGTTGAAAACCGAGGGGCCTTTCCTCACTGAGGAAACACGTGGCTCCCTCTGGTCAAGCTTGGATGGCTGGAAACTAATAAGCAGATCCTCCATCCCTTGAGATCCAGCTTTTCATAAAGATTGCTGCCAAGTTAGAGTGCCCCTTGGGCTGAGTCCTCAGAAGTCCTCATTAGGGGCAAGTGCTAAGAACTCATTGTTTACATCCTTCCTAGACATGGGAAATGGGCCTGCAGAGGCTCTCTCCATTTTTCCCCTTGAATGTTTTTGTTTGTTTTATTAACTTATTAGTTTTAGTGAACTAATGGCTTTCATTCATATATATTTCTATATGTACATATATATGATAGAATATGTACAACCATATTTTGCTAATGCCCACCTTCTTTATCACCCTTTATGTCCCCGTCTTACCTCCTTGCTGATAGCCCCTCCCTCAAGTAGTCTTCATCTACTTTCAGGTCATATATATATATATATATATATACATATATATATACATATATGTGTGTGTGTGTGTATATATACAGGTCATATATGCATTCTATGCATACATATACACATATCTAAATCTGTATCCACATGAAAGGAAACATGACAACCACCTTTCTTCCTCCATTAGTCTCTCTTATCCTTCTGTCTACACTGCAGTTAGACCCCTCCCTCCTCCTTCATAATCCTGTATTCTCTTAAGCAAGTATTTGAAGAGGACACCTTTTGAATTGTACTAAGGTGTGACTGGTAATTTAAAAAGTGGTTTTGATCATACTTGTGTTGCTGTTGCTACAGAATCTTTGCTTAATCTAAGATCAAAAAATGTATTACTATTTTTACTCCTAGAAATTCATCATTTTAACTTTTCTTCTTATATCTGCTTCACTTTGAGTTAATTTTGTATGTAATGTGAAGTTAAGCTGTGTTTGGTGTTTTAAGAGGGTTATTAATTATCATGACTATTTGTTGGAAAATTATAATCTCCCATTGAATTGCTTGGGCAACTTTGCCTCACATCCATTGGTCATATGTGAGTGGACACACAGGTGTCCCATTGATCTGTGTGTCTGTGCTTTTGTTAACCTTTTGTGACTTCCTAGTAAATCATGAGATACAGTGGTAGGAATCCCCAAGCCCTGTTTTTTTTTTACAAGTTGTGCAAATTTAGTTTATTTCCCACAGGAAAAGTAATATCAGTCTGTCTCTTGAAAAATAAATTCTTCTGCGCAATGTGATTTGGCTCATGGAAAAACCTGTGTGTTATCTTGAGAACCAGTGATTTTCTGTATATAAGGGGTTTTCAAGTCTTTCTCTTTTTTTCCACTTTTCAGGTTTCCTTTTATGTGTTTGCTTTTGAGATATAGACTTTGCATGCATTACCTTAGATATCACATTTTTAAAATTACTTTATTTATTTTTCTGAAACAGGGTGTCACTGTTTAGACTTGGCCAGCCTGGAATTTGCTATGTAGACCAGACTCTGAGCTCCAGAGAGTCTCCTGGTCTCTATTTCCCAAGTGCAGATTAAAGGTTTGCACCACCACAACCAGCTCAAATAATTTTATACTATTGTAAAATATCACTTAAGAAATTGTGGATTTCCAGTTGTTCATCATTGCTTGTATAGCGAGATGACAAATGTTGAGTTTTGGCTTATGTCCTGCCACCATCTGGTACAGGTTAGCTTCAGTTGTCATTTGACACAACCCAGAGTCATCTGGGAAGGGGAAACCTCGACGGAAGAACTGCCCAGATCAGAATGAGCTGATGGCATGCCTGTATGACACGTTCCTCATTGCTCATACATTTAGGTATTGTGGGCAATGCCATCCAAGGCAGATGGGCCTGTGCAAGTGGAACAAGCCAGCAGCTGGAGATCTTCTGTGGCCTCTGCTTCCTTCTTCCTTTCCTGTTCCGGGGTCCTGACTTAAGTGCCTGCCTTAGCTTCCCCTTATGTTGGGCTCTAACCTGTAAGATGAAACATATCCTTTCATCCCCAAATTGCTTTTGGTCATGGTATGATGGGGGAAGTCCTGTGTATATGTCAATAAAGCACTGTTGGCCAATAGGGAACCAAGATAGGTGGGACTAGGAGTCGAGGAGGACTCTGGGTAGGAGAAACACAGGAAGTCAAGATGTAGCTACTATAGGGGTCAGAAGTCCGGACCCCTTTCTCCAGTAAGAGAAATACTTAGACAGGGTAAATACTTAAGTCAGAGCTAGCCAGTAAGAAACAAGCAAGGCCAACAGCTTCATAATTAATATAGCCTCCTGTGTGTTTATTTGGGACTCATGCGGCTCTGGAACCAGGCTGGCGGAAAGGCTTCTCTTTACAATGGTGTTTATCACGGCAACAGAAACTAAACCAGGATTCCTGCCTAACTATAGAATTAGATATTTGGTAAATTTTATATTTTTTTCTTCCTTTGCAGTATTAAAAAATTAAGACATTATAGTAAGTCACAGGATAAGATTTTTTTTTTGGCTTTTCGAGGAAGGGTTTCTCTGTGGCTTTGGAAGCTGTCCTGGAACTAGCTCTTGTAGACCAGACTGGTATCGAA